TATTCTCCCTAATACCAGCCGTTTCCGTAATCATCATCGACGTCAGTTCGATGATACAATGGTCTGTGCTTCGCGTATCGCACCAATAATTTCCGAGTTATTAAATTCTTGTTTGATTGATTAAAGAATTTTCCGGGAAACATTCATTGGCCAGGTTTAACGAATGGAAATCCTTAGAGATATACTGTTGCAGAGTTTTATTATTTCCGCTTGAGACGTATTATTCTATACACGAATTGAAAAATTGTCTGCCACGTGTTTCGTCGGGCATCGTACTATATTATCAACTTGAAATCTTACGTTACATAACACGTATATGCTTATATTGCAACAATGCATTATCACGGTGTTAATGCATTGCAAACAATTTCTCGAACCTATTGATATTTTTACATCACGATGTCGAATGATGTGAAAATTTGATTCGTTGTTATGCATGAAATAAAATCTCGAATGTTAGAAAAAAAATTGAATGTGGAATTGATATTTAATGACATAAAATCAAGAGGAATTTAAATATTTTAAAACCTTCTAATGTTCCGAATTATTTGAGGACTATTTAATTATTTAATTTGATGATTTATGGAGAGTTTTATTATATGATATACAAATTACTTGAGTGTTCAAGATTCCGTTCTATGCTTGGCTCGAGTTCTATCAATATTTTTACATCACGATGCCGAATAATGTAAAAATTTAATTTTTTGTTGTGGATGAAATAAAATCTCAAAAAAAAAAATTAGATCAAATGTGCTGAAATCCGATATTCATGTCATAAAATTAAGCCAATTTTTGCGAATGTATTGAAATATTTTAACTTCTTCTAATGCTGCGAATTATTTTAACTGTTCAAACTATTTAATTATTATACTAATTTGATAATTCTATTATTCAAACTATTTAATTATTGTACTAATTTGATGATTCATTGTGAGTTTTATTATACGATTTAAATTACTCGAGTTCTCATGATCCCGTTCCATGCTTGGCTCGCGATGATTACGTGGCTAGAGATTGCGATTTCACGCCCGTGCGCGTGATCCGTGCGTTTTGCGCGAACGTCATTACGAAAAATGAAAGTGTAAATCGAAGCGTGCGCGCAATAAGAGAGAGAAAGAAGGAAGAGAGAAGTCACGTAGAAAAATGCATTCGCGGCTGCACAATAAATGCGACGCATCGATATTTTTGCGGCGTATGTTTCTCATTACTGGGAATTTCAAGAGATAGATCGCAATTCTGCCTCTTACTCCCTCGTTTTTATCAAGTGGGCGTACTAGATGTGTATGCAAATGCGTTTTCCAGTGAATCTTTCACGTACATACACATATTTGCAAAAGCGTATTATATATATCGCGTGCAGACAAGATCGCTTCGATTAGTCGCAGATTCCAGTCGAATTACGCACCGTAATAATTATTTCTCACGTAATAGAAAACAGAAAACGACAAGTCACCGTCGCGCACTCATTTTTTTTTCTTTAAATAAGCACCAGGTCACCGTTATTATGTAAAGTAAAGGCGCAATGTGTGTACGTATACAAGAATAAATCCTTGTCCCGTTATCGCCTAGCTCTACAATTCACAATACCCGTAAAATAGGTGATCTCGAGTCGGGAAATATCACGGTTCGGGTTTCTCGCGAATTGATTTGACATTCGATGACAGTTATACTTACGTTACGCTTTTGTAAAATACTCTTTTCTGCATAGACACAATTTGTGAATTTTTTTATTCCGCGATATATCCCTTGGGGGATAATTATCCGATAATTACGCGCGATGATATATCCGAATTTTTTTTGTTTCACCGACGATATGTATGTTGGACACGCGAGCGAATCGAGAGATACTTTCCCTATACTTTCGCGCACACGGACTACTACTAGTAACGATTAAGCATTGTCCGGATTTGATCGTCGCCGCCGCGAGGTGAAACCGAATTTGAGAAAGTTTTGCCGAAAAGATCGACGAGAGACGGTTTTGCCGAAGATTTGCATATCCAATCTGGGATCGCGAGAGATATCGAACCTAGACGAAAGTCTATTCGCGGAAGCGGCGAATGGAAAGGAGGAACCAAAACAAAAATTGTGCAACCGGAGATCTCCAACCTTTTGATTGTATAATGAATGAGACGACGCGAGAGTGGCGACGCGAGAAGAGAAAAAAAACTGGTTTTATTTTGCCCGGACGCTGAATCACACCTATAAAGCCTGTCCTGCGTTTAACATTCCCGCACTCCGATTCGATTCGATTCGACTCGCTTTGACGCCAAAACGCTTTAACGCGGTGTTTTGTTTGGGAAGTATTGCGTTTTGTTGTCCCGCAATACTTGACACGCGGAAATCCCGGACTTCTTTTCGCGAAAGCCGGTTTGGGCGCGGAGATAAAAATCACTTTCTGTTTTTGCAGCGCACGATTTTAACGAAGCAAAATTTCTAATCGATCGCCGAAACGCGAGAGTTGCTCCGATTCAGGACTTTACACAGAGAGAATTTTCTCTTAGAATTTACCCTGAAAATATGCTCCATATTCAAATATTAACTTTACTAGATATATACATTAATATTTTTTATTGTGGTGAATAAAAAAAACTCTTATAAAAGTCTTCCAACCTTCCTTTTCAAAATTAAAATAAAATTTTAATATTTAAAGTTTTTTTATTTATTTTAATTTGTAATTTTTACGTTGATGATCAGATAAAAAATAGTTGAAAGGGGATTATTTATAACGAGTAAACTTTTCGCGAATAAATCTCATTAATTTCTTTCAGAGTAATGATTTGTGATCGTGGCAAGAAACAATGAAAAGAATGAGAGAAAGAGAAAAAATGATGGAAAAATTTATGATCTCGCAGTCACGCACCTCTTACGTCGCGCTTGCGGAACGGCCCTCGTGATTTCGCAATTCGGCATTATTTTCTCACAAACGGTAGTTGAATGCGCATTCTCGCTGATAGTGAGCACTCATAAAAGCGAAACGTTAGTATACGTATATATATGTGTGTAAACGCGGGGTCACTTGCTGCGAATGTTTCACATTTATATACCGCGGCAAAGTGCGTAGAAGTGCACGTGCATCCTGTCGCGAAACCTCGCCCTGAATTTCACTTTTGTGTGCGTGTGTATTACATATGTGTATGTATGTGTGAATGGCTTTATAAAATTCTCAGGAAGGACATTTGCGAATTTTTGCGCATAACTTTGATCTTACAGAGATAGAGAGAGAAAGAGAGAAATTTGAACGGGCGAAAGGATTTTATAATTGCCCATACGACAGTGAAAATCTCTCCTGGCTGCGAAATCGCAGTCTCATTCGCGGGGAACGAACGCGAACGACGTAATTTCGGACCTAAAGTCTAGAGTCTAGACCTCGGTAGTGTTTAGGGTGTCTAGCGGTCAGGGAAATCTGGAAAACCGACCATTCATTATCAGGGAATTTTAGAAATCTGGTCATTCATTATCAGGGAATTTTAGAAATCTGGAATTGTCAGGGAAAAGTCAGGAAATACTATTTATCTGGATTTTTTCACATTACTCTACATTTGTCTCGATAATTAAAAATTTTTTATTAAATAAATATAAACTTTTTCTTGACTTCCAGGACGTTAATTTTCTGTATTGTTTAAAATCGATTCATCTACAGCGTGTTCGTTAATTTATATTTTCATCGTCGTGTTATTTTATTTCAACGTGTTTGATAGAGACAAAACTAAAAAAGAAATGTGATCTAATATAAATAAAAGAGATGATTATTTAAATAGTTTATAATGACATGTTTGTTTCGTACATAATGCAGATTGTATAATTTACTAAAATTTTTAACTTCCGAATCTTTTTATTGTTGATAAAAATATCTCAAGGATTTCATGATTTAACATTTAATTGATTTATCATATAGATATATGCAAATTATATATTTGGAAAAAAAAATACTGAAAAGTCGGGGAAAAAATGAATATCTGGTCTTGGAAAATCTGAAAAAGTGAGGGAATTTTTTTTCATTGAGTCTGCTGGACACCCTGATAGTGTTGCTCGTCGAAAATGACAGCTGTGTTTATTCGTGACAATTGACGTTACGGTTCATTCTCCCGGTATATCTATAGCGGGTCGAGTGAATTGAATTCCCCGAGTGATTACCGGGTTTAAAGGTTCCAGTCCGCGCGCACGTTAACACATTCGCCGACGAGCTATGAATAGAAAATGGACCGAGTAATCATCGTCGGCCGATTGTTCCGAGAGAGACGATCTCGGTCGCGGCGCCGGTTATCCTCTTATCTATTTAGCGCGAAGGGACCGAGATGGAATGGATCTCTTGATCGTAAGAATATATACGACTTGGCCTCTCTCTCTCTCTCTCTCTCTCTCTCTCTCTCTCTCTCTCTCTCTCTCTCTCTCTCTCTCTCTCTTTGCTCCCTCATCTTCGTCCTCCTCTCTGTAACGACCCGCGATGGAGGACGGACAGGCTCGGCGGTCTCGGCCGTGGCTGGTACCGCCATCCTCTCGTATCCCTTCTCATTCTATCGGATCATCTACCATCAACGATCGCGCTACTCTATTCTACGAAGAGCCGGCGCGACAACTCTCGACCGACCAGTTCCTCTCTCTCTCTCTTTCTCTTTTTCTTGTTCTGGCTTCCAAGTACTCCGGAGATACGAATTTCCGCAATCTGTTCTCTTCGTCTTTTTTTCCCTTCTCCGACACACCCTTTCTTTCATCTCATCAGAATCTCGAAAATTCCATTACACCGGCGTGCCCACAAATAATCGCTTAATTTGACGTTTCGTTGCCAGTTATGTTTCCTCATTAATGACAGATAGATAACGAACGGTCGGAGTAGGTGGATCGTGAAGGATGACGGGTCTCTCGACCCGACCGTGGCTGGTGGTACCACACCACTCCGTATCAGTCGCCGTTCCACCGAATAATCTACCTAGGCGACGAGCGATTCGACTCCCACGACCGGCCGTTCAGAGTCAGAACGACGGAGGAGAGGAGATCGGTTCGGTTCGCGCTCGTCCGGTTCTTCTCGTCGTTCTCCGCTCATCTTGCTCCGCAACGTGGTGCTCGCGAGTTCGAGTCTCGAGTCAGTCCATCGCGAGCCGTTAGTCGGATGGTATCATCGGTACTCTGTCACGCGTCTTGGAATCTTGCACATCTTGTCATATATTTACCTTCTTCTCTCTGCGAAGTTTGGGAATGCGCGACCTCGTTGAATGTCAGTGAATCGTTTGCACGTGCAAGGATAGTAGGTGAGTGACTGTTGCGCGAGAGATGCGACTCGATGGTTGACGTAACACGTTATTTTTTAACAGAATTTAATACATGCACTGAACAAACATCTTTATGCATTAACAAATATTCTGTTGGAAAATGAGCGAAACGGAATTACTGGTTGAATCTATCAGAATTCCTTTTAATGTAACAAGCATCTGGTTTGCACAACAAATTAGTTGTTTGTGCAAACAAGATACTTTGTTGCATTATAAAAGGAATTTTGGTAGATTCAACCAGTAATTCTGTTTCGTTCATCTTGGAACAGAATTTTTGTTAATGCAAAAAAATTCTTTTTCCAGTGTGGAAAAATTTCACACACGAGCATTATACATGGAGAGAATTTTCTCTTGGGATTTACCGTAAAAATCATAGTAATTGTGAAACAATATGATAATGGAAGAATGTTATAAGAGTTTCTCTGATTAATATTTACTACGGTAAAAAATATTAATATCTACCACAATAAGATATAAAATATATGTTACATATTAATATTTTTTATTCTTTATGAAAATCTCTCTTGATGAAAATTTCTTCTGTATATTTAGAAGATGAGAAACAAATAATGGTAATAAATAATAAAATACTGTAATACTGAAAAGCAGAGAGAGGAAAAGAGACGATTTGATGAAAATTATACAGAGAGAATTTTCTCTTAGAATTTACCTTGAAAATCATGGCAATCGTTTTTCTAATTAATATTTATCACAATAAAAATATTAATATGTACATCTATATAATGAATTTTACTATGTATGTACATAGTAAAATGTAAAATTAATCAAGTATATTTTATACCTTATTGTAGTATTAATATTTTTTAGGGCCGCGGTTGTTCAAACTCTTGGTAAATTTTATCTGACAAATAGCATATATATTTATCCCTTTTTTTATAACTTATTTCAAAAAAGACGAAAATATGCTACTTGTCAGATAAAACTTACCGAGAAAAATCAGTCTTTTATCTCTTTTTTTAAATTAAAAGAGACAAAGATATGCTGTCGGGTAAAATTGATCAAAAAATTGGAAAAATAGATTTTTATTGTGCTAAATATTAATCAGAGATGTAAATATAAGATTATTTTATATAACATGTGTAAAGATATATATGTGTAAAATCCCGACATTAAAAGATCATTGTTTTAACGCTGTCATTATATGTCGACTCCGGAGTTATCGACATCCGGCCAACGCGCGAGATAGTCGGACCGACGTCATTCGCACGTGCAAAATCTCCTTGATTAGGCTTAATTACCAACGCATCGTTCCCATCGCGCCGCGGATTCGAAAGTCATCGCACGGAAGCGTGCGTACAGGACACGCGAAGATGGTCCCTTCATCCGTAACGCCGTAATTAATGGCTAGCTAATCTCGCGATAAGCTTCGTGTAATTAGCGGCTGATTGTCTGCTCGCTCCTCTCACGGAATACACTCGCGGAAAACACCTCCGCCTAATCTTCTCTCAGGGAGGTGCAAATAATAAAATGGGTCATTCCGTTCTATCTCTATCTATCTCTCTCTCTCTCCGCGCGAGTGAAAACGCGCGCAATAAAATCGCTCGGACGCGAATAGAATCACTTTCTTACGTCGAGATCGCGAGTCCGATCGCGCGAGCGACGAGCGGAGAGAAAGATGAAATCATAACGACTTTGTGCGAGTGTTGGTGCGGGCTTTTCAGTGAAATCCGCAAATTACGGGCGGGCGCTCCACTTTTCCTTAAGCGTCGCCGTTTCGTCGATTACTTTCTTACATCGAGTAACACGCTCGAGAAGAGACCTCCGCCTCTCGACCGGAATCGATCTTCGACTCTCGAAGATAGGACAATCGGCCGCGAGTTTCTTCGTCGCACCATTAAAGGTGTTTTATATCCTTCTCGCTTCTTCTCTTAGAACTTCTTCTTCTCTAGAAGACGTAAATATTCAACGCGATATGATACGCCTATAACTTTACTCGAAGGAAAAGTTTGTATTAGCAACCAAACAATGATACTCTAAAAACAATGGAGAAATTATAATTCTCGTTTTTATAAGTATATATTGTAATGGTAAATTAAATGTTATTTTCTATATTTATATACGATTTATTTCATTATTCATCTGTTTGTATTTGCTGTAAAGAATAAGTGACAATTTTGATTAGGCGTATTATACAAACATTATAAACACACGGCGAACAGATACATTATATGTACACAGAGAGAATTTTCTCTTATTGTTAGAATTTACCCTGAAAATTATGGTAATCACGAGGCAATATGGTATTGGAAGAATTTTATGAGAGTTTCTTTGGGTAATATTTTTACCACAATAAAAAATATCTACTACAATAAAATATAAAATATGTTCGATTAATTTTACTATGCACATATTAATATTTTTTATTGTAGTAAATATTAATCAGATAAATAACTCTTATAAAATTTTTGATTATATGATTTTCCAAATTTTATTTAAGACACATTTTTTTAAGCATAAACTTACAAATATTCTTCGACATTATTTTAGATCATATATCGTATTTATTTGCTTAACAACAGACTGCTGACATTATATATTTTTTAAAAGTGACTTTAATATTCGCTCGTGCTTGATGCGTTCCACTCGCGCGCGCTATATATATTCACGCCATTATAATTTCATTCGGTCAGAGTGAACCAAGTGGATTTGAGCGGAGATAAATTTATCACTGCTTAATTGTGCGCTCGTAACCGCTCAATGGCTGATAATGGCGACAGTAAATCTAACGACAATTAGCCAGGCCGCGACGTTAAGCAGCGCGCCTCTCTGGATAAAAGATAATGACGCGGTTCTCATCCCGTTTTCTCGCTGCTATATGCTGCAATTAGACGGCAGAGCTACTGGGAGAGTCGCAAGTATCTCAGGAAGTAACAGTATTAGTTTTTACAAGGCCGTCTCTCGTTCACCGGTTGCCCTCTAGGGGCACCAAAAGGCCGCACCGTTCGCTATAGGGTGTCTGAAAGACAGTGTTGTGCTTAGATGATTGGAAAATTAGCTAGATAAAGATGAGAAAAATATGTGAATTCATCTCTGATAAGATGAAGATAATTTTGTTTTAAATATATCTGGTTAAAAGGTAAAATTATATAGCGACTCATCCAGATAATTTTCTAGATAATAATTTTTAAGACAGCTTATATAAACACAGTTATTAAAAAATGTAAATTATAAAAAGGATATAAAAATATACGTATTCATATTTTGATTTATAAATTTTGATCGATGATCGATCGCGGGTTTGTTTCATTTTGAAATGAACCTAGTGTGTCGAAATGGATACGTGACACAATGACGATACGTCTATATAGGAATCTGTTGTTGAAACAATAATAATAATGCCTGAACGTTTAAGTGATGACCTTTAAACCTCATCTCTTCCAAACAAATTCTATTTCTATCGCTTTAAAATCCGTTTACAACATGCATATACATTCGCTGCGACGTAGTTCAACATATGTTTGCACGAAAAATGACGATGCAACTCACGAGTGCGAGTTTTTCTTTTTTCTTTTCTTTTATTATCCGTGGAATTATTGAAAAAATTACAGCTCGACGCAGCCGAATCGAGGACAGCGTTATATAATCTTGCCGAAACATTGTTTTGATTTTTCGAAAGTGTTATTTTTCATACAAACAAAGATATATCCCATCTTAAGGAAAGGCTATCGATGTTATCGCCATAAATAAGTTTCGAAATAAGTAGGCTGAAAAAGTATTATTAAGCGCCACCAGGCACCATTAGTGCCTCGCGAGGTCGCCGGGTTATCGAAAGACTGAAAAATTCGTGTCAAAGGTCGTCGGCAATCAATACAAGCGTCAAACGTTCGTAAAAAATCACGTCGAGACTGATAGCGTTTGACGGGCACCGTGACTTTTTTTTCATAAATTCAGTCGTGCTTTATCGTGTCTCGTTGCTCTGAAAAGGCAAAAAAAGGAGATCTCGAGTACGTGTCAAATGAGCGAAATTTAAAATTCACTTTAATGGACGTTTTCTGAAATCTTGAAACTTCTCCTGACGTGTTTTTTTCTCAAACTCTCAGTATTTATCTATGTTTATGCATAGATATAGGAAATACATTATCGTGATGCTAGACAATGTTCAAGAACTTTGGAGAACATAGTTCTGTTATTTGTGATGACAGTGACATATGTAGTTGGGGCACATTTTTTCACGCACAGTTTTATCTACAATACGTGAATTATCAAGAGACGCAGTAATGTCTCGCGGCTATCTCGGAAAGCTGCTAATGTTTTTATTTCGTTTGGAACGAGATGATATTTTAAAAAATATAGCTGCGTTTATATATATATTTGTGTCCCGGGAATATCTGTTATATAACAGATATGCAATAGCACGTATCGATTATATGACAATTATAAAAATCTCAGGATTAAATTTATGTTACATGCAAATCGGAGTTTGAGATGCATTTTGTATGAGGAAATCACATTCATCAATTAACACATGTACACAGTTCATTATCATGTGATGAGAACCAGGATTTAAAAGCGACAGCGCAAGTAGATATATCTCAAAATACAAGTATATATCAGCGTTTCCTTTCAGAAGAAGAGAATAATTTTCACACAAATCTTGTTTCTCCGCGATTAACAACACTATACAATCGATCTATACGTACTTTTCTATCATGCTTGACGCGATACATAATTGTCCGGAAGCGGAAAATTTTCCGTTGGCACATCCTGCACACGTAATGTAATACAATAGCACATTTTACGTTTGGTGTGGGAATATTAGACGCTGGTTTCTTTTCGCTTGTTACCTGGGCATTGTACCCACAACATATCGCTGCCATAAACGCTATGAAATAACGCGCTTATATTTAAAGGCAGATATAGAGCGAAAAGAACAAGAAAGCGTTGTTGCGTGTCAAAACTGACTTTTTAATGAATACAAATATCGAATAACATTAATGAGTCTGAAATAGGTCAAAACA